AAGAGACTGTCAAAGTATTGGCGTTGCTTGTGACAGGAAACTAATAGGCATGAAGTCCTTATTAGATTTTGTAATAAGGGATTAAAGTTCACACATTTTTAAAACACTGATAACTTCTGTAAGAGACCAGAAATTGTCACAGTGCATCGCTAATTTATCATAATCTGGGCATCACTGCTCAAGGGAAGGGGACGTCAGTAAATGTCCTGAAGTTTCATTTGGTTACTAAATGTCTTTCCTTGGAAGCTCACTGCTTGTTGGCCAAATCTCAGGACTAGAACTCTGGACAGAAAGGGACCTAACCAGAGAGCTGAAACTGCTCTGGGCTGCCCCAAGGTGTTTTCTACGCACATGCGCATGAAGACTGCTATTTTCTGCACATGAGGACCCCACCCTAATTGTGAGTGCTGTGCATCCTCTCATCCAGTTTCCACTGCCTCCCTTGAGGAACAAATCCCCCTTTTCTTTCGCCCTCCACTTAAATATGGTGGTGTGGGTTCTCTCTATACCCTGGCGTTCTGCTTGTGGGCGGAGCATTTTCACATTGCTCCTGCCTGTCCTCAAATTCTGCACCTCGGGCCTTAATGATCTCATAATAGCATCATTCTTTCTTTTTCAGGTTTAAACAGATTGTAAAATAGGACAGGGTGGCAGTGGATAGAGGCCAGAAGCTCCATCTTCACCACTGATGGCTAGTTGAGGCCCCAGCTCAGGGTGACGGTACAGCATTGTCTCTGGCCAGGCAGGCCTCTGCCCAAGTAGGGTGGCATGAAGGATGGCAGTTCTTGTGCTTGGAGGTCACTGTGACTCCCAGAAGGAAAACAGGATCTGACTCCAGCACCCCCAGTTCATTCTTTCCATATATACCAGTCAGATGCACATCTTTGCTCAGGCAGAGGAGTGAAAGAGACTAGGCTCTAGTCACATGGAAGGCGACAGTAAGAAGCGGCACAGCACTCATAGCGTGTGTACTTTTAAACCATAGCCAGCCCATCCCCATTCCCAGGGATTTGGCTTTTCTATTTAGATGTTTCCAGAGCTTGAGTTATCGGGATGAGTGTAGTATGTGGTTCTCATTTACCCCCACTGCACTTGGCTTTTGAACACTGCTGCCGTATTCTTGGACAGCTGCCTCTTAAAGCTAACTACTCCCAAAGCTCATCTTGAAACAGGGCCGGACAGGGGTACAGGGCAGCAAGGCAGGAGGCCGGATGGAAGGAGGGAATGGCCACCCACCTGCCCGGGCTCTGAGACCAAAGAGCCACCAAAAAGTCCAAAAGGCCAAAAAACAAAACCAAAGGCTATGGCTTAACAAAGGACAGTGCCTGATAAGAGGACAGTCACTGTCGGTGGGTTCTCACCGGCACACACAATTACAAGAAACCTTAGGCTCTAGGAACAACCACTGCGGGGTTTATTTTACAAACATGGCTAACAGAGCTTACTGTATCCACAAGTGGCAGCTATCTCACCCAGATAGCGTCAGTGATGGTCACCACCGGTCACCAGGAGTGCTGGACAGCACTGGCCAGTAGTGATGGCCACTACTGGTCCATCAGAGGTGGTATCAGAGACACCCAGTGTCAACAGCTCTTTGTGAGTTGGTGGGTTATACCAACAACAGCAGCTCTTTGAGGCACCAGGCCCAGGGCTATTGGTGCTTCTCTCAGGCAATGTCAGAGGGTCTCCATTCCTGACGAAGACCTCTGACAGAGGTCTTCAGTTTCTCTTCCCTCCTTGGAGGTTGGCTACTGGATGCTTCTTTTCCTCTTCAGAGGCCAAGAACAGAGTCTTCCGCTGCTTCCTTCGGAGGCTGGAACCATCTTTTCTTTGGGGGCTGGCGTCCTCTCAGGGCTGGTGTCATTTCTTCTTCAGGGGCTGGTGTCGTGTCTCCCTCAGCTCCCTCTGACCCTGGCTTATAACCTCTTTCAGAGTGCCCCACCCACACGTCTGATTGGACCATTTTTCAATCCTGTGGCTAGTTGGACCATTTAGCACCAATCAGCTCATAGCTCACAACTGATTGGTCCATTCCACCATCCAGGAAGTACGCTGTTACATAAAAGATCTCTGAGGAACAACTGACAGAAGGCAGTTACTGGGCTCTGAGGACCAACTGCCACAACTGACTGGTGGTGGAGCAGCAGGGTGAAAGACCACCACTGTCCTGCCAGCTCCCACCGCTGAGGCGGCTGGGTTCCGGTCACAATATGAAGCTGAGAAGGCTAGCCTAAGAACCCCGACCCTTGACTGCCAACTGCCTCTTTGATACTCTGCAGGCACCTGAAACTCATCATTTCCCAAACTGAACCAAAGTCCTCATTGTCCGCTTTGCACTGGCGTCTCAGCCAAATTTATGCCTCGTTGCGATGGCTTCCCTGCCCTCCCAACCGCTCAGCAGCCTTTCCTCGGGACTCATCTCCCTGGAGACAGCCTCACCATGACATAATCACATTGTATTATGTGAACTCCTTGAGGCCTTTTTTGTCTTCCTACCTCCAGTGGCCAGGCTAGCAGTAGGCATGCGACAGGATGCTTGCTAATGAGTGGAAATGAGTTATCAGGCATGTGGGCCTGATTTGACTTCTAGGTCATGGGAACGTTGTGCATATAGATTGAGTACCCTGTTCCCTGTGACTTGGGAAGTGGCCTGGCATTTCTTGCAGCTCTGAATTGTGGTATATAGTTAACGTTCTGTGAGATGACTCCGCTGCTGTTCTTTAAAAAGATCAGGGAAGATGGCCATCCATAGTTGCAGTTAAACTTGATCCCACTGGGTGCCACTGTTGTTGCCAGTGGAAGATGATGACTATCATCTTGAGGCCAGTTTATCGCCTTCCTTTTGGTCTCTGCCTCCCCTCCCCAACACTGTCAACTCATAGTTTGGAATCTCTGAAGTCAGGCTTTGACTTAAACCATAAATGTCAAGTTCTGGGGAAAGGCCAGGAAATTCTCCCTTCTACAGTGGCCCAGGTTGTGTTTGCTCTGAACTTCCTTACTTAAAATAAGGTTTAATTTCTTGTTTCTTTCTAAAAATAGGCAGAATAAGCCTCTCACCCTTTCTTCTTAGACTTCCTTCCAAGTGTTGGTCACCTATCACAACTTTCCTTCTCATAATCTTCCTCCCAGGCCTATTTCTAAAGACCACAATGTGAACACAGTGCCTGAGTGGGAAGCGCTAGATGAGGTCAGGAGCCTGGGACCTGCTCAGGCTCTGCTACTACGTTGTACCTAGACTTTTTCTCATTCTGGGCTTTCATTTTCCCAGTGCCTGGCAGCCCCAGATGTTTTAAAGACCTGTGTGTTTAAGACGATGGTGGCGGTATAATGGAATATGACATTTCTTTTTTCATAATACGCTTCAGGATTGTTTCACTATCTTCTTCAATAATAAAGGACAGTGTACTATAAAAATACTTGAGGGAGGTGACATCACCTCCCTTCTTGTAACCCAAGAACAGGCCCACATTTCCCTCTTATGAGGACATAACCATTCTCTACAGGGCTCATTAGTCTTCCTCTCACAGGCATTCAGAGTACGTTCTCTGTTCCTAAAATAGTCTCTAGCTATTCTGTCTTGTTCAACTAGTGGTGGTTTACTTTCCATTCCTTTTCTTCATCACCCTTCTGCATTCTTTCACCAAGAGAGGAAAACAAGCACTTGTCCTATCCTGGGCCAGGCCTGGAGTGTCCCTTTCCTTTCACTGTCCTCCAGAATTCTTTATAACCCCCATGATGTCTCACTCTCCCCTGCAGGAGACTGCAGCACACCGGGGTGCTGACTGCAGGGATAATCTCAGGAGAACGCCAAGGCCTTGGGCAAATCTGGTCCCCCATAGGTGAGATGTCTGGACACAGCCTCGTTGGAGGACTCAGCAAGCACATGCCTAAGCTCCTTTAGCACCTTTCCGACCTCTCATTGATGCTCATTGATACCCTAGATCTTCATTTACATTTATTTCCCCATTTCTTAATGATGAAATGGCTTTCAATTTTTATTTTGCTTTTTCTAGGGAGAAGGGGAGGCCTTATTTAAAAAGTTATCTAGTTGCAAATGAACATGTTTACATGTTAGTTCAAAAGGTCAGGTCCCTGCTGAAAGGCAAAAAACAAAGCAACAGAATATTGTCTCTTCAGCGCAGACTCCTTGTGGCAGCCTGTTCCCCACGCACACCTTCCCCTAAGAGGAGCCTAGACCAGGGAAGGCAGCGGCCTCCAGGGAGCTCTTCGCTCCAGGCAGCTGTCCTATACATAGCACAGTGATCTGGAGAGAAAAGCATCCCAAAGTCGCAGAGATGCAGGGTTAACCCTTGTCCTTGTCAGGGCAGTGTTTGGATTTTTAGGTTAGCTCTGAGGAAAGACTCCAGGGGCCTGGACTAAGGCAGTCCCTTACTCCCAACCCTCCCAGTGAAAGTGACCCATCCTCTGAGCTCACCTGCCTGCCCTCATGGGGGGATGGGAGCCATGGGGGGGTCATGTAACAGACTGGGAGGACACAGTGGGCATCTTTACACAGCGCCTGGGTGCTTAGTCATTCAAATGCTCAGTGTGGGTGTGACTTTTGTCCTACTTGGTCCTGGGCTTCTGCCTCTGCCCCCCTGGCTGCTGGGTCAGGCTGGGGTTCAGATGGCAACCCCTACAGCACACAGAGTCAACTGGCACTAGGTGGTGCTGTTTTTTTTTTTAGAAGAAGATGGAATTTCTTTTTGAATCTATGACTTTGTCAAAAGTCAGGGACTGGCTAGGCCCCAGGGCACACCCCTTTAACAAAAACCCATCCAGTGGAAACCCTCTGGCTAGGTGTTCTGTTACCCAAGGCTGACAGGAGAGGGGGAGACTGCTGAGAGTTGCTCTGGGGCTCATTCTTTCCTTTTCTAGCTCGTGTGTATTTTCTACACAAATATGTAATAGTAGTAAATGAGAAGAAAAATATTTGAAAACTAGAAGTAACCAAAGTATAGCTTTTATTTTTATGGAAATTCAAAGAAAAACACTATTATATACATTTAGAGAAAAAACTTCTGAGGCAAACTCTTGAGGGACATTTTTTATTATAAATTTAATATGGTTGATTAATGAAAAATCACAATGAAGTACCAAGAAAATGTTTGTCAATATAAAAATTTTAGCAGCATTTCCATAGTTTCAGGCTCTAACATTAGTCATACTTCCTCCCTCCCGCTATTAACAAAGAAGAGAATCCAGTGGGACTACAGTAGAGCATCAGGCTGTCAGCTTAGTAAAGGCCTCCAAGAAATCCTCAAATCCACTGTATCCTCTCAGATCCCCTCATCCCCCTCCCAGATATCCAGAATGTTAAAGCACTCACTTGAATGTTTGAGACAAATTCTGCTGTTCAGACTGCCGGGGAGGGAGAGGGGTGGACATTTCAACTGGACTTTATATGTAGTGCTTGATCACGTGTCCTTACGCTGTGCATTCTCTACTCTTGACAGCAATGAAGGGCCACTGCAGGGCTACCAGTATCCGGCAAGTGGCAGCAGTGGTGGGTTGGGTGGGGTGGGGAACTCCGAGTGGGATGTGCACATGATGGGGGGCAGTGCCCCACCCCACACACTACTGCTCTGGGCAGGCCGGGGCACAGTGGTCTAGCTACATCCCAGGTTAATGGTAGGATTAATGAGAAGGGGAAACATACAATATGAAAATATAATACTGGCAAACTATTCCCCTGCTTCTTTGGTACTTTCCAAAATTCTCTGATCAAAAAAGTATAAGGGAAGCACACCATTAAAAAATTACAGTTTTAAGTATTTACAGAAGCAATTATGATATATTACATAATAATCAATACACATTATATAAACAAATTCTTCAGTGAAAGCACTTGTGAACTCCTGTTCCAGTATTATTCAACAGTAACCATGTGTACACCTTCCCAAATGTGTATCCGCCATCTTGTATCTCACTTATCTTACAGTATATTAAATGGGGAAAATACCACTTCCAATCTATATTTTCCTTTTAAAAGGGTCGTAAAATTTGCCACTAAAATCATTATGTACAAAGATTTGCTGAATACTCTAGGCAAATATCTCCACTCCCATTCTGAATATGAAATAATGCTACCTATTCTATGTATACAATATATATTTAATATATAAGTAACTGCACCACGTTATATCACCAAGATACCAGTTTAATGCACATGATTATGTACAGTAGTTAAGTTAGCTCTGGAGGATGATCCCACAGCCTCGGTGAGCAGTGTGGTGTGGAATCATGTGGAAGGGACACGGGCAAGACACCCCTCCCACACAGACCCGCACCAGACCACCCCTTTCCTTAGTTACTGGCTGGAAGAAGACAGATCACACGTATGGAAGGATCCCGTACATGAGAAGAGCCATGATAGCAGCACTGAATACCCCAGCCACGGGGACAGTCACAAACCACGCCACAAAGATGTTTCGGAAGAGGCGCCAGTCCACAGCCTTCCGGGAGCGGATCCAGCCCACGGCCACCACGGAGCCCACCTGTAGGAGCACAGACATTTTACATTAAAAATAGAAGCCCACAGATTTAACGTGAGGTACAAAATCTACACTCAACCCATGTAAGCTGGCATCTCAAAGATAGGCTACATTATAAAATGAGCAATTCTTTCCCTTAGATTTGCTAAAAACCTTAAAAATCATTTAGATTTCAGGAATAATTCTTTTAGGATTAGTCTATCAGTAAGTCATTCTGATGGACTTTTCCACTTGCATCCTACTCTAGAGTGATACAAATCAATTAAAGTGTTTCCTCTTCGCTCTGCATCTTACAAACTATGAAGTCCTTGTTTCAAATATTCCCCATGTAGGTTACTGCTTACTACAACATGTAAGCTGCTTTAGTTAAGTAATGAAGTGGCAATAACGTATTCTTAGAATACAGAGTCTCAAAATGTTGGAGCTGGAGAAGAACTGAGACCATCTAATCCACTTCACTCATTTTACAGAAGATGAAACAGACCCCAGTGGGGCAGAGGAAATATCGTAAATCACAGCCGATTAAGGACTAGAACTCAGGCCTCTTGGTTTTAAATTGGTTTTCTCTGCTACCCTCAAACTTCCTTGCAATGCTTGCGGCACTTTAGCTTCAGTTAAAACGAAGCATATCTATTACTGGATTTAAACAGTCCATCATGCTTCACAAAAGTGGTTGTTTACAGATACTTGAAAATTAGAAAGTGAACACCGATTCAAATATTTTCCTAAACAGTTCATTTTAAGGCTTGTCGATAATTTAAAAAGGAAAAAGAACACTTCATTTTAGGTATCCTGAAAATGGAAACCATAAAGCAAGAAGTCTCGTAACATCTACACCTCTCTGGGGTTCCAGTGAAGTTCAGAGTTGGACAGGTGAGGTGTCCTGGGCCATTGTAAGGGGCTCTTGAATCTCTTCCGACCCTCAAATACTTAAGCATCAGCAGCCGCCAATGAGGTTCAGGGAAAGGTGTTTTAAAGCAATCAAGGTCTAACCACAGAACCCTAATACTGAATGGTTTATGGACACAAGCTGGAACACCAAAAAAAAGAGTAGCTTATTTAAATGTAGTGAATTTGACCTTTTGTCAACACAAGCAGTGATTATCTAGCAATTCCATACATCACGACAGCAACTAAAAACCTGTGTAAGGGATCATCAAAATGATGATGTAAATTCTTCAGCTGTATCCAGTGCACTATATGAGCCTGACAATCCTGTTCAGCAGTTCCTATAGAACATGCCAAACAATCGAGATTTTTCTACTGCATAGAAGTAGATTGTTTGCATGTTCTAGAAATGTGACAGCAGAACTGAGGCTACCAGAAAAGAGTAGGGGAGCACAAAGGACTATGTGGAGGGTGGGTGGTGTTTGGCGATGGGCGCAGTGCGGTAACACATTTGTAGGGGTGTGAGCCGTACTCCTGAAACACATACAGTGTTGTGAATTAACATTACCACAATAAGTATGGTAGTAATGAAAAGATAGTGTAACATTTATTTAAAAGCAGCTGTAGGGCCTCCCCGGTGGCGCAGCGGTTGAGCGCTGGGTTGCGAAGCTGCCCGCGGCCTCTGTGGTGCCGGTTCGATCCCCGGCTGCTCCCCGGCCACTGGAGGAGGGTCCCACATGGCGCGCAGACCTCTCCTGCCGCCCGCTGCTCCCCTCAGCAGTGTACTTCTGTCCTTCTGCCTGCTCTGCTCCCCGCTCTGGCTCTGGTGAATTCTCTCACCCTCCCGCGCTTCTGACTGTACCCAGTGCATGTATAAACAAACAAACAAACAAGTAAATAAATAAAAAACATGCCTCTATTAAAAAAAAAAAATTAAAAAAAAAATAAAAAAAAAAATAAAAATAAAAGCAGCTGTAGGGTAAATAAACAGTATCAGGCTTTTCTGCCCTCCTGCCATCAGGACAGATGACGGATCCCTGCGGTCCTGAATGCATGCCTGATGGCGGGCACCTGGAGTAGGGTGTGGGCATAGGTAGATGGGATTCACCTGGGCTGGGACTGGGCTTATAAGGGCAACGTCATGGGGAGACCAGCAGAGGAACGAACGAGAAGCAGAATGAGGAGAGAAGCAGAATGCGAGAGAAGGCCAGAGAGCCCAGAGAGAGTGAAGACTTGCTGGGGGCTGGGAGCCCTGCCAGCCTCCCGGCCCCCCAGCACCCCTGCCTGCTGTGTACCTGGTAAATCCCTGCAAAAGCCACCGAGGGCTCCAGGACTTCTCCTTACTTCGCCTGCTCGGGTCATAGAGAACCTGCACTGTACCATTCCTGCCGTTACGGCAGCCCAAAAGACTATTTATGCCTGAAAAAAAGTTCAAGGCCTCTCGGGAAGGCGTATATTTAGCAGCTTCCTCTGGCTTCCAGACAGCACAGTGGATTGTGGAGGTGGAACAAAAGGGAAGATGGTTTCTTTTCACTCCACAGTCTTGTGTTGTTTAAATATTCCAGTGAACGTACACTTTTGTAATTTTTAAGGAACTGAAACTAGAAACGCCACGTGAGTGAAAGGAGGAGCCCGCACTTCTGCCTTCCTTCCCTCGGACAGTGCGCGGCAGAGGTGGGAGAACAGGGCGCTAGCCAGTGTCCTCGTGGCACCCTCTGCCCTCTACCCGTTGTGTGATTGTGGGTAAGTGACTCAACTTTTCTATGTATGCTTCAGTTTCCTCATTGGGAAACGAGGGAGACTTAGAACGCACTCACCTCAAAAGCTTCTGGGGGGATTCAGTGAGTTCCTGTTCACAGCGCACTTTACACAGTGCCCGGCAGAGGGTGCTGCTCACACACTGAGCTGAGGCTGGGTGGCAATCAATTATGGCGATTGTGGCTACAGTCAAGAGGCACCCAGCAAGAGGTGAGGTCTGAATTCTGTTTGTCACATGCTTGAAGTATGATCGTGAGAAAGAAGACTGACTCTGGAAGCTTCAATTTTCTCAAAATTGGGATTAATGCTGCCAATGTCAAATGATTGCTGAAGGGATTAAATGCCATATTTGAAGTGTATAAAGCACTAACCACAGTGCCTGACACTATATTCAGGAAATGGTAGTGATTTTACAGTGGAAAGTATGGGTTTTCTATAGTAGCAACAAAGGAAAAGACAAAACAAAAATCCAGTGAAACCTCTCTCCAGAGAAGCTGATAAGATAATCCACATTGCAGAGCCCCAGCTTTGTCTTAAAAGTGATGGCACTTAAAATAGTCCTGAAAACAGGGCCTCCCCGGTAGCCTAGGGCTTACAGTCTCAGTGCTATCACTGCTAAGGCCTGAGTTCGATCACCAGCCTGGGAGCTAACCCACATATGGCACAGCAGGCCTCTCCTGTCTTGCCCGCTGCTCCCCTCAGCAGTGTATTTCAGTAGATTGTCCTGTTCTGTTCCCCACTCTGTCTCTGGTGAATCTTCTTACCACTCTGCCCCCCATACCTCCAGCCTACACCCCAGATCTTGTATGCAAAATCAGTCTTTAAAAAAAAAATATTTCCAAAAATACTGTGTGGCTTTCATATTTGAAACCCTTCATATTTGAAACTCACTCTTAGTAGGTATTTGTTTATAAACACTCCTGCTCCAGCTGTTACACTGGGTAAATGTGGACAGTGCCTGTGTCTTGGTCACTGCCCTGCCCCTGGTCCTGCCTCACACACAGCAAAAACAAATGAGTTTTCTTGAATGATACAAATGAAGGAAACTGGAAAGAGTCTGGAAGTGGTTTGTGCTTTGATGAAGCTAGTATTTTTTAATATAGGAGGCCCACCGAAGGTGTTTTAGAATTCCCCCTGCTACGGGGTAGACCTGGTTATCAGGCCTGGGTTCTAGTCCTGGCTCCAGTCTGGGTGCCCTCAGTAATTCCCTGAACTCATGGAGCCTGTTTCTTCTTCATTCATCGTTTGGATTCTTTAGTACCAACTTTCCACCATTCTGACAAAGAGCCCCTGCCTGCACACCCCTCAGGAATGTGGGAGCCCCAGGTGATCAATATTAAGAATTATCCCTCGTTTAGAGTTTACTCTAAGGCAACACAGTCACTTTTACCATCATATAAGGAAAAAGAACTGAAACATCCGTGTCTTACAGTTCCATTGAGCTGATTTCTGCTTATCTCTAGTTGCACTGTTAACTCCCAGTCCCCTGCAATGGGCTGGAACTGAGTGGCAAGCCCCCTACGAATATGGTTAGCGCACACATGACTTCAATGCAAAATCCACTGTGGAAACATGAGAGAGAAACAGGACAAATGGAAAGTATGAAGCACACATCAAGAGAGCTCCTGCCGTGCATGCACTGAGCAGAGTTTGCAAGACTGAACGTGTCACGCTGCTGAGCAGGAAAGGTTGAGAGGGACAGTCTGAGAAAAGCAAGTGCCCACATCCAAAAAGGCTCTAAGCAGACCCAGCTTGAGATGATTCTTTCCACAAACAACCATATACAAAATGCTACCAGTTTTTCTCAGATTCACTTGGTGACCGTGGACTGAGCCCAGCGGCTGCTGAAAGGACAGGGCTGGCAGGGGCCTACCTTGCAGTGTGTGGTGCTGACAGGAAGCCCGATGTTGGAGGCCATCACCACTGTGAAAGCCGAGGCCAGTTCAATGGTGAAGCCGCTGCGGGAGGGAGCACAAGAGACACATCACAGGCGCCCTTTGTAAGGGCCTTGCTGACACCCCAGGGGTGCCAAAGGCTCACCAGAACATTCTTTGGGTCAATTATTGAGTGCTGACTGGGCAGACAGAACAAGAAACTGCTGCATAATGGCCACAATTCATACTAAGTCTCTGCATTATACTTTTTACAGATTTAAATAGCCTTGTTTTTCTGATATGTTTTCAAAAACCACACATTGTAGTAACTGGGTCAGAAATTCCTGCTGTGTAAAAAATGGTAAATCAGTCATTTCTAAGGTAGCATAGGAAATACTATACTCTCATTTTTAAAATGTTGTTACAAAAAGTGATTTTTCATCAGATTACTAATTTTTCTCCAATCTTATAAAAGAATTTGTCACTGAAATGAATTTGAAGGGAGAAAAGATTTCTTACAATAGGTAGTTCCAAATTTCAGTTGTATTCTGAAAGTTCTTTTTAGTTTGTTATTTCACCCCATCTAATTCTAAAGAACACACATACTAGAAGGCCACATGGAAACCATGTAGAAGACATGTGGGAGGAAGTGTCCAGATGCCCCAGAGCATGGCAGGGGCACCCGCTCGCCATGAGCCGACAAGGGGTGGCAGGAGAGCTAGTCCCAGAGGGTGGCAGGAGAGCTATTCCCAACCAGCAGGTGGAGCTGGTGTGGCTGGGAACTTTTGGGAATGGCCTGCCCTGGGCCTGGCCTGATTTGCCTCTTCCCCACTTGCTCTCTGGCCTTTACACTGGGTAAAACCACCAGTGGGAGTGAACTGGGGGCTGCAGGGTGAGTTCTATTTTTCTCTTGCCTCCCACCCTGCTTTAACTTCTCCTTGTCCTTCCTTCTATCTCCTTGTCTCATTTTCTGTCCCTCTCACAGTGCCACTACGGACAGGGCTGACGAGGGCAAGAGGGATGGTGATGATGGGTGGTGAGCAGAGGTAGGGAGCCTGGCTCACCCCCTGCCCCTCTCCTCACTGGCTCCCACCTGCAGATGGCTGTGCTGAGGGGGTTGGGACAGAAGAGCATCACGAGAGGACTTTGGGGCCTATCAACTCGGGCTCCATGGTGGCCTCAGAGGACAAGTTTGCTGATCCGACCTGCACCCGCAGCTTACCTGGATGGTGTGATAGGAGTGAGGTCCTTGCCCATGGTCTGGATTACTCTTCTCCCCCAAACCCAGAGACCTGTGCAAATTCCAACTCCTCCATAAAACAGCAGCCAGACAGGGGTAACTGCTTCTTGCAGGACTGCGCCTTGTTCATAAATCAGCCACAAAGCTACCAGGGGACCAATGGCATTACTGGGGGGAGGGAGGAAAGGAAGATTAAGCACACATTGTATATGCAGAGAGTGTCCAACTTACAATGGAACTTAGGATTCTCCAACTTCACATGGTGCAAAAGAGGTCCACGTTCAGCAGAAACTGCAGAAGGGATTTTCAATTTTGATCTCCCAAATTCCCCCCAAATGTTGCTCATTTCCCAGGGGAAACAAGTGCCACTGTCAGTACAGCATTCAATAAATTAACTATTCAACACTTAATTTCAAAATGGATCTTACATGAGATGACACTGCCCAGCTACAGGCTAATGCAAGTGCTCTGAAGACATGAGCACAGGCGAGGCTAAGCCGTGATGTTTGGTGGGTTAGGTGTAGGAAATGCATTTTGGACTTAACTATTTTCAGGTGGTGGCGGGTTTATTGAAGGGTGACCCCACCGGAAGTGAAGGGAGATCTGTACAGTTATGCTTCATTTCATCTAATGGGAGCCAAATTCGTCCTTGAGTGAACATCTCAGTCATAGAGTATATACTTCTGCAAACCTAGCTGACACAGCAGACAACCTGCCGGGGCTGCACAGGGGGACCCCCTTCACACAGTCACGCAGTGCTTGATGCCACCCAGTCAGCCACACCGCATATACACTGGTGGCCCCAACAGGTGACCCACGGGGCCTGGGTGTGTGGCAAGCCTTACCCTCTAGGTCTGTGTTCACATGACATTACCTAGCAATGATTTCTTAGAACATATCCCTTCGTTAAGAAACGTGAGGCCATAAGTGTAGTGTTACGCAGCATGACTGTAGGCACTGAGCACAGCAATCCTATGATTCATATTTTGAGGCACGTCCAGATTGTTTTCCATAGCAGGAGCACCATTTTGCATTCCCAATAATGGTAGCCGGGTTCCAATTTCTCCACATCCTTGTCAACCCTTGTTATTTTCTGTTTTTGTTTTATAGTGGCCATCTGATTTATTAATTTTTTAGGAGTACTGAAAAATCACAAGTGAACTAAAAAAAAAATCCTTTTTTCTCCTCTATTGCTTTCCATTCGTATTAACTACCAGTTTTGGGCATATGTGTCAGGCCCCACACTATGGGATCACAAACATTACTGCTAATCATTACTTCTCATACCCACCCTGAAAACTAGGCTGTGTGATCCCAGGCAAGAAAGATTATGTTTCTGACTTTAGATTCCCTGTTTTTGAAGGAACTACTTATGAGCTCAAAGCGCTGTTTTGAGGAGGGTTAGAGAAACTTATAAATTCACAGCACTTTGCCAGTATCAAGCCTTCGAGTACCAAGAATTCTTGATAAGGAGGAAGTGGGGTGATGGCTGGGAATCAGACAAAAAATTATTAAGACAGAACAGAACACGATGTCTCAAATGAAAGAACATGGCAACACCTATACAACACTGAGCAGAGAATAAGTCCAGGACTCTTGCCTGGTGGAGAGGCTTCCTTTAAAAAGAACAGAAATTAAGCTGCATATGTGTGGAAACCCAAGCCCGTAAGCATAGAACAGGGCAATAAAAAATACAACAATAGCCTGTTTTCCTGGTTTGGACAGAAACACTAGCCCTGCATATTAATTACAACAGTAATAGTGAGAAATGTATAGATCCAGATGATGTGAAGGGCATTACCCTAAGCTACGTTATCTCCCGAGCATCTCACTTAATCCTCATAGAAACCTTATGAGGTTGGTATTTATTTTACTCCCATTTTAAAGACTGGAACATGGAGTCTGTGGGAGCTCAAATGACTGATCCAGGGCTACCCCACTGGTAAGAAGAGTAGAGACTCCACATATCCCTACACACTACGACATACTCCAGGCCCCCAGAACCAGTTGACCTCATCCCCAACGTGCCCCTATGGCCTCTGTGCTCTTCTAGAACTGGCACACTCCTGCCCCAGGCCTGTGCACCTGCTGCCCCCTCTTCTAGGTATGTCCCCCACTGCAGATGTCACTCAGGGAGTCCTTACCCAAGCAGCCTGTCCGACTCTGCAGCCCCACCCCCTCCTGTTGTGCCTGGGCCCTTCCTACTTTATCTTTCCCTCTATCATTTATCACTGGTTGGCACCCTGGGGTTACTTATCCATTTGTGTACTGTCTGTGGCCCCCTGCCCTTCCTGGCAGGGACCGTTGTCCGTGTGTGCAACGCTGGATGTGGCCCCCAGAAGAGTACCTGGCCCCGACAGGCACTTGCGGAATGAGTGAGCACACTTACCTCACATCATTGCCGCCGTGAGCAAAGGATCCAAAACAGGCCGTCAGGACTTGCAGAAAATGGAAGAGGAGGTGGACCTCAGCTGTGTCTTTCTCCTCCTTCTCCTCGTCTGCAGGGTCCTCCCGAGGCTGGTCTGAGTCTGTGAGCTCTGAGGCCAGCTTCATCTCCACGCCTCCCTCTTCTGCCTCGATCTCGGCCTCTGCTACCGCGTTGCAGTAGCTGGAGTAGCTGTCATAGCGGAGTCTCTTTTTCGAATAGGACACAGTGTCGCCCACCAGCTTTTCACTGTCCTCCGGTGCCGACGACGAGTCGGCAGCTTTGAAGGCCGAGTGCACCGGCAGCCCGCAGATGGCAGCCGTGTAGCAGGTGTAACTGTTGTTCCGCCGCAGCAGCCGGTAGTTGTTTTCCTGGGCGGGCCTCTCCTCCGGGCCCCGGTCCGTGTGAATTTTGTGCAGCAAGTCTTTGTAGAGCCCCGAGTCTTTGTGCACGGTGTGGTACACGTGCGCGTCACTCCTCGTGTGGCCGTCGAAGCCGAAGGTGCCGTTGGAGATGGGTGACTTGGTGGAGCCGTGGGTCATGGAGAGCGCCCTTCCTGAAAAGGGTGCAAAGGTCTTATTCGCTAGCCTCCTGGATAGAAATGGCGGCTGGAAGGAGATACTCCCTGCCATTTCATGGTGGTTCTCTCTGGAGGGTGCAACGTGGATGATTTAAAAATTTTAAATTTTTCCCACAGGCTTTATTTTCCCAATTGACTCTAAAGGACATATAATAACGCAGCTCAAACATAAGAGGAAACTTGGAAACATACCACAAAAGGGTACATCCAATACTACTGGGTTTAAAAAATGATGTTATTTAAGTTCTTCTAAGAAGTATCTTCCAGAAATTACTACAGTGCTCTTTCCATTCCTAGTAATGAAGGAAGGGAGAATCCTTAAAAGGACTTTAGAAAAACTTCACATATGAGGGATAAAATCCAGTTCTCTGTGGGAGAGATATTTAGTCACTCCTTAAAAGGCCGATCATGACTGCGAAGGTGGTATCTGTCAGATCAGTGGGGCAAAATTAATCTGCTTTCTTTGGGCCAAATCCAAGACCACACCTGTAGAAAGTGGTGCCAGGGCCGCACCTTGTCGAGAGGTGGGATGCCTGCCCAGACAGGCTGGCGGAGGCTGGGGCTTTCCCATCATTGTCCACAAACATCAGGGGACAAAAGGACACCTCCAGGATGGTCAATGTTTTCTGAGGTTTCTGTGATTCTACAGTAGGACAATCTCCTCAGTTCCAATTTTAAGCTTTCTTGTTGCATCTTCCAGGAGGAAGGCATTCTTAGGGAACTGGAGAGACCACTCTCCCTCTAGCTGTCAGGCACCTCCGAATGTGCAGGCGAGTGACTGCACAGAGGGCAGTGCAGGTCCTAGGAGCTGCTGCAGATATTATAAATAGCATTTAGAAGAAAGTCACAAGACAAGAGTGCGGCCACTCTGTCGGCTTTATGGTCTCCCGGGGCCTCTTTAGCCTCTGGGTTTACTTAAAACATAAAAATAGGGAGACTTTTGTGCATTAAAACCTAACCACTTGGGCCTCCTGGGTGGCGCAGCGGGTTGAGCACAGCGCTGTGAAGCTGTCTGCAGCCTCCGCAGTGCCGGTTCGATTCCGGGTGGGCCAGGGAGAATCTCACATGGCGAGGCAGACCTCTCCTGTCTCACCCGCTGCTCCCCTCAGCAGTGTATTTCGGTCTGTCTGCCTGTTCTGCTCCCCGTTCTGTCTCTGGTGAATCCTCTCTCCCTCCCACAACTCTGGCCTGTACCCCAGCTCTTGTATAAATAAAAATAAATCTTTAAAAACAAAAAAACCAAAACAAAACAAAAAACCACCCAACCACCCATACTTAGGCCTAGCTGGCTTCCCCACCCCAGCAAGCCCCGCTCTGTCATCAGGCAAACCCAGACCCTCCATGTGGGTCTTACCGTAGGAGGCCCTGGGATGGTTTACCGTTGATGTGCCTTCTGAGGTCCCAGGGGTCTCCCCAGCTGACCCCGTGAGAGGAACCGTGCTGTCGTCAGTAGTCTTGGCACCTGGTAGCTCTTTAAATACTGGGGACTCCACTTCCTGAACTTTATTGAGGCTTTCATCAGAGGCTCGTGATAAAGCACCTTCTTTTCGTAATTTGCCTATAGAAAATACAGTCATAAGTTTAAAAAAAATTGCAAGAGAATTCCTGCTATTGAAAATGAACATAAAAATGAATATTTATCTTTATACTTTAGTACTTACTTTGAAAACAAAAAAAGTAATAGCTATACAGGGAAAATAAAGTGGAAAGTTCAACCAATTATCTAGGAAACTCAAGCCAGAAAATTGAGCTATTGAGGAAAAGATGGGGCTTCAGGCAGTCATCCCATTCAAAACCAACAAAAAAAGACAGGGTTAGGCCTAATCCCCAAGGCACCCTCCAGGGTAAACATTCTGGAATGCTACAACCATTTAGGCCAGTCTTTTCTTTTCTTAGACTACCATCAGACTAACTGAAATGTCTATCCTTTTTGTCTTCATAGGTATTATTATAGTCTGGTTTTCTTCTCCTCAATAAGTTATTGGTCTCAGATTTCTTCAGGTCACCAAATCTTAGGGAACAAGTAAATCATTTTCCTTAAAAGGAACAGAGAGAGACTACTTACTTTAAAAAACCCTTTACTTCAATAGAAGCAAAGAATTTTTAAAAAGACATTTTATAGCTCAGTAGCATTCTTTCTAATCAAACCTGACATATGCAGCTGCTGACTTAATGATCTTGCTGCTTGCAGTGTTTCTGAGCAAATTTCTAAGCTTTCTCCTTCAGAACTTAAATATCCCAGATTCTCTGCTTGACAACACGCGTACACTCACTCTCCATCTGTCATCTCCATGTCTACCTAGACAGTCAGATAGATCTTTAAAACTCACTTTCTTTTATATATGCAGGGAACAAGACTGTACCTGCAGATTTCTGACCTCAAGTTGCTTATCATACCAATGAGAAGACAGTACTTGTAAAGATGACAATAATTAAAACAAAAATTGTTTAATTACAATTAGACAGGTTATTTTCTACATTTTATTGATGGCAAAAGGAAGCACAGAGAGATCATATCAGGTAAAATTAGGCAATTCAGCTCTACGGACTGTGCCCTTAACCATTAGTCTGTACTTAAAATAACAGAACAAGAAATATCTAGTGAAATATCAAAACATACGGCACTAACAAAAACATTTCCTGAAATGCCAGAATAGGGAACAGGGTCAGGTTCTGCTGTGACATTATAGCTTGAGGCTGGAAAGCAAATGTTTTATGGTCCTTTTGACATTTAAGTTTGGCTATTAAGAAAAGCCTTTACAAAAATCAAAGCACTGAAGTATAGTTTACCACTGCCATGGGGGTAGATCGGACAAGCAGTATGTTTGAGAGGGGCTCATCTTAGGTGAGTGCCATTTAGAAATGGAGGAGGTTATGTTTATTCCCAGCAGAGAGCAGGTGGTCACTTCGCAGGAAGGAAAGAAGCTGGTTACTGCTCATTATTGGCTTGCCTTTACACTTTAGTTTCATATGGTGGATTTTAAAAAATTATTAATGAATAAATGTGGAGTTTTAATTATTACAATGGATTTTTTACTATTAATTGATTCATATGGAATTTTTAATGTAGATTTTTAATATTAAATATGTGGATTTTTTTATTCTTAAACTTACACATAGTAAATTTATTAATGTGGATTTGTAAAATTATTAGTTTTAAATTTTACATGCAGTGAAGTGTGTATGTGTGAGTGTGTGTGTGTGTGTGTGTGTGTGTGTGTGTGTGTGTAATCCTGATTCTAAAACACATCCAGATTTGGGTAACTCCCATCATAATCAGGACATAAGAGGGTTCCATTACTCCCAGAGCTTCCCTTATAGTCAGAACCTCTCTCTGCTCAGCTCTAACAGTTGATAACCACTGATCTGGATTCTGTCCCTATAGTTTTGTCTTTTTCAGAATGTCACATAAATGAAACCATAATGTATATAATTTTTTGAGAATGGCTTCTCTTACTCAGCATAATGCATTGAAAATCATCCATGTTGCTACATGTTAGCAAGAACTTGTTCTTTTTCAGTGCTGAGCAATATTCCAATACTTGGATGTGCCACAGTTCATTTATTCATTCTGTTACTAAACTGTGTTGTTTCTAATTTTTGGTGACCATAAATAAAGCTGCTATAGTTATTCATATGCAGATTTTGTGTAAATTTAAATTTTTATTTCTCTAGGAGTAGGTATGTGTATATTTATGGCAAGCGGATACTACAAGAGACTGTCGAGATATTTTCCCTGAGTGGGTAACCCATTGGACATTCCCACTAGCATGTATGAGAGTTCCAGTAGTTCTTGATTTGCTTTAGTCTGTTGCATATTCATTTTTCTAAAGCCATTCAAATAGGTATATGGTGGTATCTCACTGTGTTTTTGATTTGCCCTTCCCTGATGACTAGTGATATTGAGCGCCTTTTCAAAAATTTATTTACCATTCACATAGTAAATTTCTCACAGAGCAATTTTGACAAAATGCAATTTGACTTTTTTTATAAGTCATATTTTTGGTGTCATCTAAAAATGCTTTTCTTTTTTTTTTTTTAATAGAGGCATGTTTTATTTATTTATTTGTTTGTTTGTTTGTTTTGTTTATACATGCACTGGGTACAGTCAGAAGCACGGGAGGGTGAGAGAATTCACCAGAGCCAGAGCGGGGAGCAGAGCAGGCAGAAGGACCGAAGTACACTGCTGAGGGGAGCAGCGGGCGGCAGGAGAGGTCTGCACGCCATGTGGGACCCTCCTCTGGTGGCCGGGGAGCAGCCGGGGATCGAACCGGCGCCGCAGAGGCCGCGGGCAGCTTTGCAACCCAGCGCTCAACCGCTGAGCCACCGGGGAGGCCCTAAAAATGCTTTTCTTAACCAAAGATCACAAAGGTTTTCCCTTATTAGTTTTTCCATAAAGTCTTACTTTTTCTATTTTACATTTAGATCTCTGATGCATTTTGAGTGAATTTTTTTTAAGGCATAAAGCTTAGAAAATGTTCTTTTTTGGCATAAGGATGTTCAATTATTCTAATACCATTTCTGTAAAAACTATTCTTTTTCCCTTGAGCTTCCTGTGTGCTTATGTAGGAAATTAATTTGTCATATTTGTGTGGGTCTAAGGGTCTATTTCTGGATTCTATTCTGTTCTGTTAACTATTAACCATGGTGTTCTCTCTCTCTACTGATATCGCTGTCTTGTAGCTTGATAGTAAGTTAAGAAGCATGAATCTTCCAACTTTATTATTTTTTCAAAATTGTGTTGGCTATTCCAGTTCCTTTGACTTTCCATATAAATTTTAAAACTGTCCAATTCTTGTCCAAATCTACAAAATATCTGTCTGGATTTTAATTTAAATTGTGTTAAATCTAAAGATCAAGTTGAGAAGAGCGATCAACCAATTAACAAACATGGTGTGTCTCCTCATTTGCCAATTTGGTCTTTGTAATATGGTTTCCAAATTCAGACATGTCCACAGTTGGAATATGATTGTAAAATACAGTAAGGTCAAAGTAACTCTTTCTTTTGAACCCTACTATAGCATGTGGCCTCAAGGTTCTGATTTCAATTACGTTGCCAGTGACAGGTAAATAGCTCTAGCAACTTTCTCAGCCTTTTAAAAAATGTTTCAGTTGAGGCATAGCTTATATACAATAAAATTCAGACATCTTAAACATGTAGGTAGATGACTCCTGATAAGTGTGCATACTCAGCAGCCTGTTGCCCAGTTAAGACAGACTCCACTTTCATGTCCTTGAAAAGGTCCTTCATTGTCCTTGAAAAGGTCCTTCATGCCCTTTTTACTCCATTTCCTGCAACTCCTCTGGCCCCAGCAACTAGTGATTTCTATCAGTGTAGATTAATTTTCTCCGAAATCATGCAGTATATGCTCTTTTGTTTCTGGTTTCTTTTGGTCCAACATGTTGTCTGAAATGAATCATGTATAGATGACTCATTCTCTTCTATATTGTATAAATATACCATAATTTGGTTACCTGTTCACTTAATAATGAATAGTTGGGTAATTTACAGTTTTTGGTTGTATGACTAAATGATTTATGTACAAGTCTTTTTATGAACATGTATTTTCATTTCTGTTGGATACATACCTAGGAGTGGAGTTCTGGGTCATATAGTAAATGCATGGTTTAACTTTATAGGAAACGGCTACCTTAATTTCCAAGTAGCTGTCTTATTTCCCATTTTACCATGATTGTCTGAAAATTCCAATTATTCTACTCCTTCATAAACACTTGGAATTGCGAGTCTTTATTTTTAGCCATTGTTGCAGGTGTGAAGGGCTATCATATTGTGGTGCCAATCTGCATTTCCTGAAGGTCAGCATTTTCCATCAGGCAGGCAGAACTGGACTGCATAGTTAACTTCCAGTTATCAGTGGCAACAGGGATCTTCCTGCTCGCCTGGGTCACAAGTTAGCAAGAAGCAGTTCAAGCCAGGAAACAGTGAGGAGTGAAGAGACAAGGCCTAGGCATGCATCTCAGCAAGTATTCTTGAGTTATTCATGCTCCCATTCCCCTCACTAGTAAGTATAATTGCTTTACACAATTACCATGTGTGAAGCCTCAGGAATTAGGAGCAATTTTGTAAATTAGATGAATAAAAAAGCTCTTACCTGTTATTTTCCTCCGCATCCACGGACACACAAAGAGCCACACAAAAACGGCGAAGAGCAGTGCTACCCCAAAGGAGATGAGCGCGATGGCCCACACGGGAAGGACCAGGCCCAGCACTGGGGAAAGAAATGACAGCAGTGTTGTCACAGGACAGTTTCTGAAGGTCAACCTCGGATCCACATGCTTCCCATTCTGCAAACCCAAAATGAATCCTCTGGATTTTGTTTACTAAAACTCTAAACCAAAAACAATATGCTGTACTTTTGGGGGTAGAAAGCTGTGTGTTTAAGACACACATTCATCTTGCGAATGCATGATTAAACTGGTGAATAAGGTAAAAATTTTATATTAAAATTTTACCAATTTGGCATAAATACCGTATTAAATTGGGAATACAACCATTTACATACTATCTCAGTGTCTAAATTTCCAAGTGGACAAGGGTGACTAAGAACAGAGTCCTCGTGTTCCCCCTAACAGCCTGCCCCCTCCCCTGGTGGTAAGCTGAGGTCTGGAATGCAGCCCAGCCAGGCTGACTGCTGCCTCTCTGGTCCTGCAGCATTCAGCACCCCTACTTTAAATGGACATGACACTCTGACCACATACACAAACCTTTTGTAAAAAAGTAGCCTAGAAATAAAAGCTTTTTAGGGGCTCCCTTGGTGGCACAAGGGGTTAAGATGCAACACTATGAGGCTGTGCGCAGCCACTGAAGCAAGAGTTCGATCCTCAGCCAAGGAGGTGACCTGCATGGTGCAGCAGACCTCTCCTGACTCCCCCACTGCTCCCCTCAGCAGTGTATACAGTGGATCTGCATGTCCTGTTACCCACTCTCTGGTGAATCCTCTTACCCACCACATCTCTAGCTTGCACCCCAGCTCTTGTATGTATGTATAAATAAATAAATGTTTAAAAAAAAAAAGAAATAAAAGCTTTTTTAAAAGGACATTGCCCTTCAAGCTTAATTCTTCTTTGAAGTGTTAACTCAGGGAATTATAACAAAGAAAAACTTCTCATTAAAATCCAATAATGTACACTACATTGCAATTACATTAGTCAATAAAAGGACAGAACTACATGTGGCTTAGTGGCATTGTATTTTCCTAGCTCTACAACATCTCTGAATCTCCTCACTCTGAATTTTTTACATAGTTCGTCACTGGTGGCTAAAGGCACATTTCACACGCAGTTAGTGTACAACTTAAACACAGATGCCTGTATAAGAACATGAACTATAAAACTTCCCATTGGGTTATGTGTAACAGTAAAACTTTGCAAGATAACTAATACATGCATCATCGTGGAAATGTGAAATAATTATTATATACAATCATAAAAATGAGATACACCTGTAGTATTGTTAAGAGTTTTCAAGATCTAATTTATGTTTAAAAACAAAACAATACCACATTTACACTCCCACCTTATATGTGCAAATATATAAAGTTCTGGAAACATTCAATGGTTATTCCTGTGGTGAGATGAAAAGCTGGAGGAAGGGTTCACTTTTTACTACATGTACTTTTCTACTGTTAACTTTTAAAGTAAATAATAATAAATTCATAAAATATATAATAATACTTTTATAAATTGTTCAAAGTTTTTGAACAGTTTCAGGAGTGAATGACTTAAAACTTTGCTCTGGGTTCTTAGATTAAATAAATCTTTAAGGATTCAGGCTTTGTTACATTGTTAACTATTTTATACATACAAACAAAACAAAGTTATTCAATTAAGGTATTATAATATTTTGGTAGTTGTAAGAGGCAGCAAAATAGGTAGTCAATACAATAAATGGGAAGTCAAAATTAACATATAGAAACATGAAAACAAAAATCCAGATTCACCCAGTTTAATTATAGCTAAGGGGTCGGAGTATGGACACTTAGGAGCTAGACTGTTCTACTTCCACATTCCCCAACAAATCAGAAAGCCGAGGACTTAGGCAGGGTTGGGCAGGGTGAGCTGCAGCCTGCCCAGCTCCCCTCCCGCCTTAAGTGGAAGCTTGGGGCAGCTTGTAAACCACCCAGGGCACCCTTGACCACACAAGAGAGGGCCCAGGGGCCCTGGATCCTGGTTCTTGCTTTCTATCTTCATGTCAGTGTCTTCATACAAGTGCCAAAGAGGCACTCCAAAGCTGCTCTGGCCCAACTCTGGTAACTGTTGATGATATCAAGCCAACCCATGAACAACACCAGTCTCAACAGGGGAAAGGATTTAGTTTTTGAAGAGGTTTTTCTTGTTTCCTTTGTGGTTCCTGGTTTAGTGGATGATAAAATTGTTAACTGTGCCCCTTTTGGTTTCTTGTGTTACCCTGATCTGAGAGGGCCTTGGATGCTGCTGGGAGACAAACAATTTGGGAGACTTTTTTTTTAATGAGGGGACACCTTTGCTTTTCGATGCTATTTTTTTCCGCCCATGCTGGGCAGAGTGCACTACAAAAGCAGAGAAGGGTTGCTTTGTGTGGTCCTTTCTTCAGGCCCATCTGTGAGCCCCCCCCCTCCCCCCCGGGGGGATTCCTGAGGGTGTCAGATGGACATGTGAAAGGGAGGAACAGAGGGCAGTGATAAGACTTTTGATCCTCTGCCACAGAACCTTCCCCTGCTTTTGGACCTTGTCTACCACAGCTGCCTTTGCCATAGCCTGACCTCAAAGTAGCCAGAGAGCTCTGAAGTCACTTTCCTGGTCACAAGAAACTAGAGGGAAAGGAGGGGAGAAACGCATTGCCTGGGGTGGAAGGGGTGGGAGAGAGAGTAAAAAAGCCAAAGCAAGAGGGGGTGGGAATTGTATGGGGGCTAAAACCAAGATGAAAATGCACACATCGTGCAAAAATTAAAAATGGTGTAAAAATATATACAATTAAAAAAATAAATTTAAAAAAGCCAAGGAGGAGGAAAAAGAGCAGAGAATGGAGGGAAATCAGGCCAGTTGTTGACAGTGAATAAGAGAGATGTGAGGAACAGGATCGAGATAATTTGTCTTACTAAATCATTTCAGCAATCTAGTAATTTAATAGAGCTTCTAAGGAACACAAGGATTTACTTTTAAAGCCTCATTCATGACATGCAAACTGACAGTTATTGATGCTACGTAGTTCCAAGTTGTATTAAATATAAGCTATCAAGTGTCAAGGATAAAAAATAAATAGAAATATTCAGTTTATGAAAGCAATAGAAATGATGTTCACCCAAGAGAAAACATTTCCCTTCTGCAAATTGAAGGTTGAATTATATACAACAAAATTTGTGATAAAAGTACTTTCTCTTCCAGTGAGAATCTCAGATTGTTTTGCAGTAATTACACCTTACGTTGGCAATAAGGCACGGTGTGTCACTTCACTCTGTGGACAGGCAAAGTAGGACACGGCTTGAATTGCTCCAGTTCCCTTGGCCAAAAGTGGCTGCCAGGAGCCAAGGCTGGGCGCTTGAATCCCAACCCTCTGCGCCAGCCACTCAGCAGCCTTTCATCTCAAGTCCCTTTCATTTTCTGAACAGTAAAGATATGATGAATAGTGATTTAGCTCTAACCTCAAGTATCTTTACAATTCAATTCCAAATCTTCCAAAGATCAGTCTATTCAAGTGACTCGGGGAAGAAGAAAACAGAATGTCTTATAAGCACCTAAAGTCTTCCAGAAGCATTACTTTGTTGTACCTCCTTTCTCATACGTAAAATCATTATTAACATCTATAAAGTGAATAAAATTTTTACAAAGACAGTAAAACTTTAGCCCATATTTGCCCCCACATACCCCTATCCATCAGGAAGAGAAGAAGAGGAGGGAAGCAAGCAGGGAAGGAGGAGAGGGAAGAGACAGTGGAAGAGGGAAGTAGGCAAGGAGGGGACAAGGGAGAGGAGGAGGAGTCGGGGAAGCAGGTCTGTCTCAGGTGTAGACTGCCTGGGGAAGCCAGAAAACAGGTCTGATTAAATGTGAGAATCCATCTGCAGTTAAAAAGAGTGAGCAAAGGTTGCTAGGCAGAACTATTAAGAGCACCCTCTATATCACCATAATAAGAGCAGTATTTAGGGTGAGAGGTGGTTACAGCAGTGGTTCTCAACTGTCCCATGTATCAAAATCACCCAAAGGCCCCCCCAGGAAAACAGATGGCTGAGCTGCAACACTTCTGACTCAGTGGGGCTAGGGTTGGGCCTGAGAACTGGCACTTTTTGACAAGTTACCAAGTGATGGTGATATTGCTGGTCTAGAGACCGCACATTTGACTTAGAAGGTGCAACACTCCCTCTTTACCTGTGAGTGACTTCAATTACCTGTTTGAAAAGATTACCTTCAACAAGATCTTTTGAGAGAGAGAATGCACATTCACATGACTCATTACACAATACTATTGCAATTGCACTGTTTTATTACCAAGTTTTGTTGTTAATCAAATCTTTCACTATTCCTAATTCATAAATTCAGCTTCGTCACAGGTTTGTATGTATAGGAAAGAACAGTATGCATTGGGTTCAATACATCTAGCATCCACTGGCGGTCTTGGAATGTATCCTCTGAGGATAAGGGGGTGGTGGGGGCAGGAACTAGTGTATATAACTTCCAGCGGCTTAATTAGGTGAGTTTGCGAGCTACTCAAAGAGGTATGCGATGAATTTCAGCATTCATTCTGTAAACAGTGAACAAAAACCAGGTCCCATTCAACTGAAGACTTCTTCATTAAAAATAAACATCAGGCTTGTATCTAACCCAAGTGAGCACTTTATTCCTAAAGTTATTTTTGCTTCTTGCAAAATTTTTTAGGACAAAAATACAAAGACAATTTTTTAAAGTGCTAACTCAGTCTCTGAAGAAGCCATGTCAAATGCAAAGTAAAACATATCAAACTGAGCCTAAGATATAAACAATTTCAAAATAACTCAGAGTGGAGGAACAGAGGAAATCAAAACACAATGCTGTAACTCATCATCTAACCCATCTCCACTGAAATCATCTCCATGCATGAAAATGCTATTTATCAAAATCTCTTCAAGTTGAAATCAGGCAGATGACCACTGCCACGCAATCTTGTTCGAGAACCTTCTTCGCTTTTTGATTCTGAGGCCTCCTGTGTACTGAACCGAGAGGTTCTAAGAAAGAAAGGAGTGAGGAAGAATAAGACCCAGCCTGAAGGAAGGCAGACATTTGGGGAAAAGGAGCAGATGGACCAAGTCATTAAAGACACTCCAGCTCAGCCTTTTCACCAAGGGTGACACCACAATTACTGATGAGACAATGGAGAGGCAGAACCCACACGAGGAAAGGCAGAGCAATTCCTCAAATACTTTTAAAAGAAAAGTCATTTTCTTCAACTTTTTTTGTTGTAACATTGATGAGGAAAAAAACAATCCCACTGACAATAACATAAGGCCATTTGTTATTCGTTTTACATTGTTTTGCTTAAAGTTAGTTTCCCAGAATTTATGGGAGATATTAAGCAAGGACTAAAATGTATGTGACTATAGTTTAGTTTGAAGGGCAAAAGAAAACCTTCAATACTTAAATAAAGATTTGGACTATGGGAATCCTAGAACCTTTCCCCAGGGACTAAAGTTTTAGCAAAGTCCTTTTCTAACCAACAAAATGGTTGGTCCTTCAGAATCATTACCTTCTTCTCTTTCTTTCTCCTCTAGGCAAGCCCCCAGGAAAACATCTAGTAAGAAATTTTCCATACCAATATGTGTGGAAAAAATAGGTGGGATGACTCAGTCTATGTTGGCAACACAGGGTCAAAAAGATGAGGCTCCTTATGCTTGAGGATCACGGAACAGCTTCTAATATGTAGTAAGCAATGTCACATGCCAGCCACATGCTAAGCACCTGCTGCCTCATCTCACGTGATACAGCATCCCTCACTCTATGATGACAGAGAGACTCAGGGTGGTGAGGATATGACATTCTTGACAGAATAGTTGCCTGACCAAAGTACTTAATATTGACTTGAGCACAGGGAATATTGTTTGAGCTTCCAACTGAGTAATGATCTTTAAGACTCTCGCACAGATCTTTTCTATTCCTTGTTAAAGATGTAGTCACCCTCTTCAGTCCACTGTATATGACATATACAAAAATAGACAACCAGGTTTCCATATTGGGACCCATTTTTTAAGAGAGTAAGAAGGGAAAGATTGTATTAGGTTGTTGTGTTTTGATTGTCATTAGTGATGGCATTAGGTACCAGGCACTGTACTAGGTGCCTTACCCAGCCCACGTCATGTATCAGGGTCTGTTGAAGCTAAGAGCCTGAGGCTCTGCACTAGACTGCTCATTTCACATTTTGGTTCTGTATCTCACTGGTGACATGACCTTGGGTTCTGTATGTTAATAAGTTATATGACCTTGGATTCTACACCTCACAAATTATATGACCTTGGATATCTTTGGATATGCAGCCTTGCTGTGCCTCAGTTTCCCATATATAAAGTGTAGCTCGCAATATTACCAATCTTATAGAGGAGTTTGGAGGGCTAGAAGGATTAATTCATGTAAAACTCAGCTTAGTAATAGTATTCATATTATTTTTCACAATAACTCTAGGAATTACTTAAATTGCCCTTAGTGTCTCATTTATTATACAGTTTAATTTTCTCTAGAAGAATTTACTCTCCCAGAAAGGTGAGATTTTTAGAAAATTTGCAATACAACTATAGCAACAGATAAGAGGGAAAAGAATGGAAAAATAAGCCAAATACAGAAAAAGTCAAATGTTAATAAAAATCATAGAGTTGTTGTCTTCTGACATTCAGAAGAACAACCAAGGAGCAAAAATAGAGGGTAGGGAAAAAATAACATGGAGAAACAAAAATAAATCATCTTTGTTTATACCAAGTCCCATTTCCAGAACTCAGCATTACAAATGGCATCTGTAGCCTTCTCAGCTCAGTCTCCTAAATCACTAACCAGGGTGGTATCTGGCTATCCATGGTTAAATGGCTTTTTGCTCAGCCAACTTGATGCCTATGAACTTACATAAAATTAAGAACAAGAATTCATGAGTAAAAATATGTCAGATTGTCCAGAAACAAAGTCACAACTAACTTATAAAGGAGCCAAGGACATATAGTAGAGGAAGGAACAGCACATCAACAAAAGATGCTGGGGAAACTATCTAATAGCAGTCACAAAAATTAACTTACTCAAAATGGATTAAAGACTTGAGTCTAAGCCTTGAAAGCATAAAATGCCTATAAGAAAACTTAAGCTATAAATTGACTCCTTGACTTCAGTCTTAGCAATGTTTTGGGGGAATTAACTCCAAAGGCAAGGGAAACAAAAGCAAAAAATAAGCAAATGGGACTATATTAAACTACAAAGCTCCTGCAGAGCAAAAGAAACCATTATTAATGGAAAGGCAACCTACTGAATGGGAGGAGATATTTGCAAATCATTTATCTGACAAAGGGTTAGTATCCAAAAATATATAAAGGACTCATATAACTCAGCAACAACAAAACAACCTGATTTAAAAATGGGCAGAGGATCTGAATAGGTATTTTTCCAAAAAAAAAAAAAAAAAAAAAAGACATGAGCTGGCCAACAAGCATGTAAAAAGATGTTGAATATTCCCTAATTATTAGGGAAACACAAATCATAACCCACACTGTGAGAATGGCTGTTATAAAATATAAGAAGTGAGTGTTAGAGAGAATGTGGAGAAAAGGGAACCCTCCACTGTTGGTGGGAATGTAAATGGGTATAGTCTCTATGGAGAGCAGTATGAAGGGTTGTCTTTAAGTCTAGAACTCCCAAATGATCCAACTATTCCTTTCCTCAGTGTATATCCAAAGAATATGAAAATACTAATTTGGAAAGACACAGGCAGTCCTATGTTCACTGAAGCACTACTTACAAGAGCCAAAATTTAGAAACAACGTAAGTGCCCACCTATGGACGAAGGGATAAAGATGGGTATAGAGACACAATGCCCAGCACCGTGTGAGAGCTTTGGGAGATCCATAGACTTGGTGATATGTGAACTTCGTAGCATCAAAGTGTTTTTTTCTGCTTTAATTTTTTTCCTGTGTGGCAAAACAGTTTGTGATAATCACACTTCATAGTTCAGGAATTGAAAAACCTGAGGGGACATTAGGCTTCTGTTACCTGAGATTAGAGTTTCCTCCCTCTCCAGCTCTCCTTCATCTTTGTGCTTTTCATGTAAATTTTTTTTAAGAAGTTGTTTTTTTTTTTTAAAGATTTATTTATTTATACAAGAACCGGGGTACAGGCCAGATGCACAGGAGGATGAGAGGATTCACCAGAGACAGAGCGGGAAGCAGAACAGGCAGACTGACTGAAATACACTGCTGAGGGGAGCAGTGGGTGAGACAGAAGAGATCTGCCGAGTCATGTGGGATTCTCGCCGGCCAGCCGGGATCAAACTTGCACTACATAGGCTGCGGACAGCTGCACAGTGCAGTGCTCAACTGCCTGCGCCATCAGGGAGGCCCCTTTCATGCAATTTAAAGCACTTGTGATGTCTGCACCCCATCTTCCATCAACCAAAGTCTGGAAGTCCTAACCATGAATCCCCAAACCTTTAAGATCAATGTTTTAAATGCTGCAGAGATGCTAAAGTAGAGGGTTACATAATGCTAACAATCATTCTGAAACTTTTTTTTTTCAGTACTGAAGTACACAAACATATAATTCAGTATGTCTAATAAAATCTCAGGAAAACTACTTTGAGAAAACCTAGTTGGAGAAGTTAATAAGAATGTTCTAGCATTTCAGATGAGGACACTTTCCAACTGTCATAGGGTATACCATTTAGTAGAAAAAATATTTTTTGAACAAAGAGATTTTTGTCAAGTAGGGCCAATTACTTAATCTTAACCCATAAAGGGCATTAACAAGAAGACAGATAACTAATGTATCTCATGGTTCCAGCTGTCCCCACAATGATAGATGTGTTCAGGAGGCTAGTCTCATGAGGAGAAATGGGACAGATCTTCAGCACCATTTAATTAGACTGTTACCAGTTCATCAACACTGAAATGTGTGCAAGGAAGGATGCTATATTTGAATTTTTCTTTACCCACTCAAAATGAAACAGAGCATTTAGCCTTTGCCCTCCCTCCCCCAACTCTCAGAGAATGGAAAGAAAAATCAATTCTGAAAGAAAATCAACCTTGGCTTCATTATCTAAAATCTAGTCACTGCAGTGATGATCTGACCACTTCCAGGGAGCCTGATGTTTCTGCTGCTTCCCCCAGCACCACTCACGGTGGACAAGTACTGCTCATCCACATCCCTTCGGGCCCCTGCCCAGCTTAGTGGTATGAGAGACAGAGCTTATTCTGAGACCCAGAGAGGGTGAGGAGGTCACCAGGACAGCACAGTCGGGCAAGTAGCAGCACAGGGATTTCTATTTTCTTTTTTTAAAATTTGAAAGTCTATTGCCTTCATACTTTTCCCATCTCTTGGGTATTTAAAATAAGCAAATGCATTGACTACTCTTTTTACTACTTCAGAATGACCACCATGAATGTGCTTTTTGCTGCCACGCAACAGTGCCAGCACCAAATAAGTCAATTCCATTAGACATAATACATTTTGCCTTTGGATTTAAGCCTCCAAGGAATTCTTACCTGGTGCTCCTGTGTACATGATGGAAAATACATTTATTGCTATTGTAGCAGCATAGAACACTGGAAGTGCCCGGAGGCCATTGGGAACAGGGTCCTCCTGTATGACAATGAGATAAAGTGGAAGGTCAGGACATCTGCAGCCAACACAGGCAAAATGACATAAAACACTGTGGCCAGAAAGTCCAAAATGGCAGGCCACATGCCACCTGCTGTGGGGTCTTCCGCATATCTACAGAAGTGATGCTGACTGGACAACCAGTGCTCACAGATGCTGTCTCAAAGAGCCCACTATTGGGCAGCAGACACATTAAAGCATGAGAATCACATGAACTGATGTCAGACTTAGAAAAAGAACTGTTGTTAGGTTAGGTCAGTTCCTGTGGACTGAAGCCAGAGCTCAGCATCTACTTCAAAATCTGTGGCACTCACTGCTCTTCAAGCCCAGGTTTGGTGCAAAAACCTTTCAACAAATATTCTAAGATGTGATCCTCTAAGAGAGGCAAATGACTTGAACATCACTGCGTTACTACTAGATTTCATGTCACTATTATACAATTTATTGCAGCTATATTAAAATACATAAACACATTACCAAGTGCTATGATTTTCAAAACCTTTTCAGAAGGCATAGTATTTAATCTTCACATATTAAAAGTTAAAAAGAACTGTGGGTTCTTTGTCTAATAAAACATTTAGTTACAACTTTTGACTTCAGTGACATCATGCCCTAAATCTAACACTTCGACAAGACTGGGAAGTGTCCATGTTTTAAGCTAAACAACAGCAGAGTATTAGAAATGTAGAGTTTCAAGCAGATATACAGAGGCTTTTTTAAAGCAAGCATACAGACTGAGAACTCCTCAATGAAGCACTGGCTTACAGATGTTGCTTAAATAATTCCAAAAAGGACATCTGCTAACAACCAAGTGAGATATTCTTGCACACTTACATGAATCTTCTGCCTACCCATGAAAAAAGGAAATTTTGTCTAAACATATAAACAGAAGTAAGGATAAGTGGAGACTATTTCAAAGATGTCTGCTGTCAACTACAAACTTGTGTAGAAACTAAGTATGCAGAGCACCACAAGTCATCAAGAACTTATTCTGCACTGTCTCAGCAGCCATCAGCACTCATCAAGAAGCTGGAGTTGAAATGGTAGTGGGGATCAGTAAGAGCAGGGTGGGTGGGATTCCCTGGGTGAGTGTCACAACCAGGCCGGGCAAGGAAGTGAAGAACATGGTGGCGGTAATGGCAGGAGCCAGGGCTGAGAGGCTCACCAGTCTTCTAATCTGTCTTGGGCCAAGGGATAGAACTCAGGGTGAACTGAAAACAAAAAATGCTGGGATGCTCAACATTTTCACATTTTATGTTTGGAAAGCTCTGGTTTCTAAAACGTTTTTTCTCAGGGACAATATCATAAAGAACCCCCAACCAATAACTTTTGAAGGTGTGAAAGCCCCAAGCTTGTGGTTTTTTAATTGAAACACTTTATGTTTTCTCAAATAACCTATTATTAAAACTCAAATGCTAAGTGTCTCATCAAGACCTGTCTCCTTTCCTCCGTCCCTCCCACCTCCTCCTCTCTCTTCCTTCTGTCATCTGCCACTCATCCAAACACTCACCATTCCCCTCCCTTAACAAATATTCAAGCAGTGTCTCTGAAGTGCTAAGCACAGTGCTGGACACTAGGATAAAGTGAACAAAATAATGATGGTTTCTGGTCTCAGAGATCTTACAGTTACACAGTAAACTGGCAAGAAAGCAAGAAATAAGGACTGCACAACATGGTAAGTGCAGTGATGAAAAAATCCAGTGTGTGGGAGTATAAAAGCAAGGTATCCAACCAGAACCTGGGCAGGAGGGGCAAGACTTCCTAGGAAGTGACATATGAAATGTCCCTATAACCAGACACCTGCTGAGTTGGAGCAGAAGTTTGCCAGACGAGACTGGGCAAGAGGTAGAGAAAATTGAAGGGTGAAGGTGAACAGACAAGAGAGGGCAACACCTTCCAAGAGGTAAACAAAAATTAGCATGGCTGGAGCCCAGGAGAAGGAATGGCAAAAAATGATGATGGTTAGCTTATACTCATCCCAGAGAAAGCCCTCAAGAGACTTTTAGGCAATGCTAAGAACACTTTGCTGCATCTCCCAATAAGGAGCCGAAGGAAGGCATGCCTATAATGTGGTAAGTTAAGCTAAAATACACTGATCAAAGGCATGTTTTATGGCTTGTAATATACTGCAACAACTTCTGTCAAATAAAAAATACAAACAAATATTTTTTTCTAGAATACTGAGCTCAGTAAGTTTTTGTTTTAATCTCACTTTTTTAAAAATAAAATACATGCTCAATAGGCATATTTCCGTCTTTTTGTCTTTTCTCAAATTAAGTCAATATTTTAAGCATGCTTCCTCCATTAAAATACACCTTACACTAGGGTAAGGAAATTCTCCAGCTATTTTCAGTGATAGTCAATTCCAGAATCTTAATACACCCTCATTCTATTATGTTTAATATGCAGGAAATAATTACCTTTCTTTTTAGAGATCTGAGCACAATGCCTGGGAGCGTTTACTAATGAACTCAATCATGGAGTAAAGCACACGATTCATAATACTGGTTTCTGGGGAAGCCCCTTGGTACTCTACCTTTACTCTCTCGGCCTATCTTATTATAAAGTCTGATTCTGACTCTAGGCTGCTGTGACTTAATTTTATTTTATTTTATTTTTTTTTTTTTAAAGAGGCATGTATATTTATTTATTTATTTGTTTGTTTGTACATGCACTGGGTACAGTCAGAAGCGCGGGAGGGTGAGAGAATTCACCAGAGCCAGAGCAGGGAGCAGAGCAGGCAGAAGGACCGAAGTACACTGCTGAGGGGAGCAGCGGGCGGCAGGAGAGGTCTGCGCGCCATGTGGGACCCTCCTCCAGTGGCTGGGGAGCAGTCGGGGATCGAACCGGCGCCGCTGAGGCTGCGGGCAGCTTCGCAACCCAGCGCTCAACCGCTGCGCCACCAGGGAGGCCCTGTGACTTAATTTTATAAAAATGCATCATTATTAATTTCTATTGAGTATAAGCAAAATTAGTTTAAAACAATAAAATAATAATAGTACTCACTTACCTTTTTTAAGATGAAAATTCTGATCAGTACAAATAGCACACCAGACATGAAACCAGACAACAGTGGAGATATAAACCATGAAGCAACTGAGTAATTAAAAAAAAAGAAAATGAATGTTAAAATTCTACATAATTAAGGTCATATTTACATATAATAATGCTAACCAACATATAGTACAAAAAATTATAAATACTCCAGAACTATTTACCTTAACTCAGAACCTAATAACTCCCCTGCCTTGGCAGAGCTGACCCTGATGTGTGTCTAATTCTCTGACACAAACATTGGGCCCCAGGTCACCTAGCACACTGCTGGCACATAGTCAAGTAAGTCTTTGCCCAAGCTCAGGCTTCAGAAGACAGATTCCTTAGGTTCTCACTCAGATCCTTCATCTGCTCTTGTCAACCCATATGGAGATGCGGGCAATATTTATTGCAACAGTAAGGATTATTGAAGAACTGGTCTGCTATTTCTAAGTTGCTCCCCAACTAATTCTACAGTTAAGAACCACTAATCTAGAAGCCTGGGATCTAAGTGGTTACTCCTTTTTTTTTTTTTTTAAGATTGAGTTATTTATTTATACAAGCACTGGGTACAGTCAGAAGTGCAGGAGGGTGAGAGAATTCACTAGAGCCAGAGCAGGGAACAGAACAGACAGACTGACAAAATACACTGCTGAGGGGAGCAATGGGTGTGGCAGGAGAGGTCTGCACACCTCTAAGTGGTTTTTCTGGATGCATGTATCCCTGCTTGGCAGGTCAGGAATCCATTTTCACTCGAGTTCCTAGAACACTGATTCTTAAATGGAAGAGCACCCCAGAGGATGGAGATGGGTGTTCTTCCAGTGGGTGGGCTGGAATTATGGCTGAATGGATTTCTCTCTTCTTAAAAGGCAGTGCCAGGAAACAGGTTGGCACAGCTCTCAGCTGGGTCTGAGAACTCAGGCCTACAACCCAGAAGGAACATGAGAATGCTTCCTCTCCGGGGGCTTACTGACTGATCAGCTTAATGCAGGGAGGTGAACAGTGCTGGGCTCACATTGAGGTTTTCAGGACCTTAAATCCTGACTCCTGAACACAGAAGGCATTTTCCTCACTTGGGTCTAGTTTTTCTGTGATCTTCAGACTGATTTCAATCATATAAATTTCTTTTCTGCCTGTAACAACAGCTTTGATTTTCAAAGCTTGGTGACAAGGTAATATTTGAAAAGTATTTGTAGTTAGAGATGGTTGAGTACATAATAATAGTCTGTTAATGGAGAAATTAACAGAAATTATAAGGGAAAACACACTACCCACATAGGTCTTCCAGGCCTTGACATTTGAGGGGAAAATATCACAATGGTAACTTTTAATCAAACTTATTCTATAAAATGTAAAATTTCATTCTTTACAAGTTTAAGAAAATGGTGATTACCGATCTTGACAAGTTCCATCCACTGCACACCTTTGGTACCAATTGCAACAAGTGAGAATCCTATAGTAGAGCCAACAATGCAGTGAGTGCCTGAGATCGGAAGTCTCAGGAAGGACGCGATCAGCTGCCAAACAGCTGAACCTAAAGGTTGAAAGATGAAATGAAAAAGTCAGATGAAGAAAGTACAGTGTCTCAAACGGTCACAAAAGAAAGAAACCCAAATCATGGTTCTCATTAACAATAGCAATCTGGGTTGAATTTTCTATGGATTATTTTTTTATGAAGTGCTAAATTCTCAATAAAAATCACTCAATTAACTTTAGTCAAAAGAACATTTTTCAATACTAAAGGAGAATGATGATTTATTTAAAGAAAAGTCTCCTGATGCCAGTTACTAATGGTCTTTGTGGCATTTAGGTACTTGAGTGGATGACGAACTTGTTCTGATGTAAAGTATGCCCAAGACCAAGCAAGAGATTCAAGATTAATAATGAACACAGAGGAAAAAGGCAGGCTGCATCCTGGGCAAGATCTCATTGTAGCAATGCCTCGCAGCCACACAGTGACAAGGGCTAGCTGCTGGCTAGCTCAGCTCAGGCTGTGCAAGAGACAGTCATGTCATGTTGTTCTTTTGATTTCTGCCTCTCATTTGAGAAGTAACTATGATGTTTAACCCAAAGTTGGGTATATGCTCTCAGCCCCGAGCCCAGGAGACTGGACCAATTCTTTGTCTGCTCCCTCAAGCCTTCTCCTTAGGAGTTAAGAGGATCCCTTAGTTTTGGCTTTGTGTCCTTTTACCTCAATTTCACCACTCTTTTCCAAGCTTAATGTTTTTCTAGGCCACAGTTCACTTCAGATATTTTCATAAGCAGATCAAATTTTGCAGTCAGTATTAAAAGCATCAGCTGGGAAAGACCACTTTCAGAAAAGTTGTTGAAAAGCTCATATAGAACAAGAAGGGAACAAAGGGCTTGGCAGATAAGCAGGGCACGTTATTAATCCCAAATGCTAATTCGGGAAAGCTGGTTGCTGGGCAGCAAGAGCACTTCTAAGCAGATCCTGGGCACTTTCTGCAAAAATATCTGAGTTTCAGAGGGTCACTGAAGGCTGCACTGGTCGCAGTGATAAAGCCATGCTGACGCTGCTCTGTGAGCACTGGGCACGCTGACCTTTGGGCTGTGACCCCATGGCTATCCCTGAAGCATGTGCTGGAGGAGAGGGGGCCAGCCTGAGCTGCCAACCTGGTGACAGGCTCCATGGCAGAGGCATCCCTGTGCACAGTTCCTTAAGCCTCACATCTAAGCCCAGGGCTCAGCAGGGACTAGTTGTTTGAAAAATAAAGCCAGAGTTTGGAGCACGTTTCTCGGCAAAGAACTGTAGCTTTAAAAACAAACTTTATGAGTTACATTTTTACAAAAATTAAAACAATTGAGTGATGTTAAGAGGATGGTATACACTCAGCCAATTGAATTCAAAATGAATTCATGGGATTTTCCGTCCTAAAAGTGGCCATCCTTTCTCTGGCTGACTTTATAGCATATATCCTGGAGGAGGAGGCTTTGTAAGGAAAGGTGGGGAGGGCCAGGGCTGCCTGAGAAAGGGAAGAAGGGGAAACATCAGGCCAGTGGGAGGAGAGAAGCAGCAGCTGCAAAAGGGGGCAGGACCAGGCAGGCATCACAAGTGAGGTTCAGGGTTCAGTCTCGAACTCATTTCTGAAGCAAATGGGGTTACATTTATGTTAAGAAAAACAGTGACAAAAAGTAGGAAATATTTTAACCTGAAGTAATGGCATCCTATAAGCAGGAAAGGATTTAAGTACAGTACGGGGGTGTAAGATAAAACCTAGGCGGGGGTGGGGTGGGGGTAACATGAGCATCTTGAAGCAACAGGTTCCTGAAAAGAGGACAGAGTAGTGAGCAAGTGTCAGGGTGACATGGAGGCAGACAGGCAGGTGAGCATGTGCAGGCAGGGAGAAGATGCAAAGTTACACGCTTAGAGGGAGCTTTGGGGTCGGGGTGGGGGTCTGTGCACGTCCTAGACTGGAAGTTGAGGCAGATGGTTTGTTCACGCTATTGTGAGTTTTTCCATGAGAAGCTGCTGAGTTTTGAATTCTCAGTAGAGTTTTGAAGCCTGTGGTTTCATACTAAGTGGACTAACTAAAGCTTCAGGGCTGAGCTAGAGCACCCAAGGATAACTTGTTCCAAAGTATAACTAGCACTGACAATTTATTCTATCCAACCAACTTAATGCTACCATGACTCTAGAAGAAAGCACAGAGGCACATGAGCTTGGGGAGAAGTTTCTAAAGGAAAAAGATAAGAAAGAAAAGAGAATAGGATAAAAGGGCGGGGTGGCGGGGGCAAGAAATGGATGTTGAGTTCAGAAGAGGAGAGCTGGGAGAATTCCAGAATCTGAAAAGAATCAGTTTTGGTTTTTGCCACTAATAATTATACCATCATCTTAAATTTACATAAGTCCCATTTTCAAGAAATCCAGTTTAAAAAATCTAGGTAACTCCTACAAATTCCCAACAAAACAGGCTCTGGTAATCATCTAACCACAACCCCCCCAAAAGAAACCAAAGCAAACAAAATCAAACTATTCAAGCAAAACCCCAAATTGCTTTGGTTAACCTAAATTCTAGTTGAGATAAGTAGTCTTCATTCTTTCAGTCAAGAGCCAAAGGCCAGGGGTGAAAAAACTTAAAAACTGGACACATTATTCTGTCCAAAGGAAGAGTTAGCCCTGACATGAAGTTCAGTTCACAAGGTGAACAGGGGGCCTCAGTGCAGCTCAATGACACATCTTCTCCATAAGCACCACCATCGCTCCAAAGTTGCATCCAATGAAAGGAGAAATGCCTGTTAAAATCTGATTTTTCAGTTTTTCTTTTTTTCTCTTCTACATCCAACATACCTTGCCTATATTACACTGACACTAGAAAAATCTTACTTTCAGCTCAATGTGATTATACTTTAGATATCCATTATGACTAGCAAGGATGAATAATATATTTTTCTAAGGGAATTTCAAATATGTCTGACTATGATAAGACATAAATATTCAGTGAAGGTAAGTAAAATCTAGTCATTACAGTAGCTGTTGTAATTAGAGCAACTGTGAACCATTCATCTTTAAAACAAAATGTGAAGTTCAGAAACAGTAACTCCTTGCTATGTATTACTAACCTATTGTGCTTTGTAATATTTGATACCCTAGGACATCAATCTGACCGGATGCCTCAACAACTTCTCAAACTAATTTGCTGTGATTAAAAAGTTGATGGGTCATCTTAAATTTATTAAGTAATCTCCATATTCTGGATGTTTAAGAAAGGCCAGTGACAATTAATACCTGTGTTCTTGGTACACCAGCATCTTACCTCCTACTGCAGGACTCTTCCTACAAAAGGAGATGTCCTGTTGAAAGCAGAAGGTGATAGAATTCCTCTCTAACCCACTTCTCCCTAACAAATTACCCACATAGATCAGCTGTCTGCTGTGCCATCACCGCTCCCTAGAGGCAAGCAGAGAAAGAGTCCTGTCAGCTACACTTAAGTCATCACTGCCCAGAGCTTGCTTTTCAGGGGTCACAGGACAGTGAGCAAAGTGTCCCCATCGTATTTCAGTTGATGGTCACATTGGGCAATGGAGAAATCCCACCATCTAATCAATTTGCTTATTAACACAGTTCACTGTTCTAAACACTCTTTCATTGAGACAACTGGAAACTACCAATAAAAGGTCATACTGTAAACAGGTGACTCACAAATGATACTCTCGGCTAGAAAACAAAACAAGCATACCAAATGGAACTCCTAGAGGTAGAAACAGAAAATCAAAACAAAAACTAACAAAAGGATTACAAAGAACATAGAGGACCAGAATTTCTTGAAATATGAGCACTCTAGATTGGTTTGGTAACTGCTGTAAGATTTAAATGGAGAATACAAAAGATTAATTAGTCGATAGTGTTTTTTTAGCACCTAAGTTTTCAAAATATTGTATTCTAATTGATGAAAAATAGACATAAACCTTTAAAGAAATCTCATAAGTAAACCTTTCAAATCAAACCTTTGATATTTGAACTCATAAAAATTATAGATTAAAATGTAAAAATGAGATACAATAAATATGAAACATCAGTTTTTGAAAAGTTAAAGCAAAAATCCACTTGGATATGGCAAAGCATGGAGGAAAGAAAGCCAGGGGACACATTTCTCATTGTGCAAAGAACGATGCTACTTACCAACCATTGCACTAACTTCCCCAGCCATTAGTGTTTCTACTGTGTCGTTGTATAGGTTCACATCAATGATACCTTTTCGAATGGTCTCTCCTACTTTGGCTCCCAGTAATACTGAGCCGGTGGTTTCAAATATCGAAGCCAAAATGCATGCCTGTCTCAAGGTCACCACACCAGAGCCCACAGCAGTACCGAATGAATTGGCAACATCATTTGCACCAACAGAAAATGCCAAGATAAAAGCTATGATAAAACCCAAAATGACCATCCACAAATACTCATCCATAGCCATTTTGGAAAGGGGCTCCGGGTACTTTTCTTTTGCAGAAATATTTTAAATAAACAAAGCTTGAGGTTATAAACGTCGTAAGGCCGAGAGTTCTTGTAAACAGTGAGTTTGCTCTGGAAAGTGCTGGATAATGTTAGAGCCTGAACAAACTGCTAACTGCTGGTTTTCAAACTACTGTCAGTACAGTTCATTTGGTTGTGTTCAGTCAGCAGTAAAACACATTCCATATTTTAACTCCCAGTCTGGGAAAGCTGTGATGTCTCCTCCTGTAACAGAAAGAAAAAAAAAGAAATCAATTACTCTAAGCAACCTGAAACAGTTTTTGTTTTTTCAGAAATAAATGATTTAAGCCTACCATCGGGAACTAATTTTGACATGTGACATAAAGCAACTTCAGGTATATTATAATCAGGTTAAATGCCACCACTCCTCTGGCAAAAGCTGATTTCTGGAATGTCAGAGGTAGAAGCAGCCTTAATAATTATAGACTCATAGCAAGCCTTAGTAGGAAATGCTTCTAAGCAATCTGAAAAATAGATTTGCTCATTATTTTCAGAAAGAAAATAATTCCCTCAAATGAGCAAAAAATAAAGGAGAAATTCAGAGTTAGAAGGTTTTTCGAATATATGCAACGCGCCTGATTTCTTGGAACAGTGACTACCAAATAGGATTCTGTGACACTATACCTGCACTTTCATGCAGAGGAACAAGTGCTTTACATTATGATTAGATTGTGAGCCTGAAAGAAAGTTTATAGGTTCTGGTCCAAAGTGACTCATCCAGAGGGTGACAAAGATGGTGACTGAGGACCTCCAGAAGGAAAGGAGGAGGCTACAGAAGGAATCCACCTTGTTAAAGCACCAGCCAAGTTATGACACAACTCAGCTTCTTCCCATCTCACTCAGGGAAAGCCACAGGCCTTACCATAGTCTGTGAGATACACCCCATGCCCCCCTTGCCCCCCGGCAAAAGACCTCTGCAAGCCAGTCCTGGCTCACTGACCTCAGGTCCTATCTACTCTTCCTCCTTCCCTGGTTCCTTGCAATTCCTTGAAAACACCAAGTATGCTCACCTTAGGTCCCTTCTACCTGCTGAGCCCTCTGCCAGGAAAAATCTTCCTGACAGCTGCACAGGTCACGCCTCACTCTATTTAGGTCTGGGCTCAAATGTCACCTTGTGAAAGGGCAGCTCCCCCACACCACGCCATTATCTATCCCTCTCACCCTACTTCTTTTCTTTTCTACTTATCACCTCATTAATTCATTCACGCATGTCTCCTCTCACTAGGATGCAGGGACCTTGTTGGTCTCAGTGAAGAGTGTACCTGGTATGCAGTACATTCTAATAAACTTAGTGAATAAATGAAGAAAGAAGCTATTAAACAACTAGAAAAAAATCTTCCATTTTCTTCCTTCTGGGTTGAAGGGGAGAGGTCACAAAATTAATATATCCACAAGGTAAAAGTATCACGAAAAGCTTTGGAATGACAGTATTCCATTATCATGTAAGTAACACAATCTGTATTTCCAAGTACCGTATCTGTGTATTTTCTTTGAACAGTAGAATGGTGCCTAGCAGAGTGTATACAATTTAATGATAAATCACATAAAAGTTATTTAGGAGAAAAAAAAGGACACAACATTTTTACATAGAGTATGAGTATGGCAATACTAAAAGTAGATAGAAGACCAAAAGATAATATATTAAAACTGTAGCAGTGGTTGAGTTTAAGTGGTAGTGTTATAGATCATTTTTCCCTTTCCTTCCAAACTGTATATTATGGCTATATGTCTTTCAAAATAAAATAATATAAGCATTAAATAGTAAGATAAATTGAGCACCATCCATGTATGCAATGTTATAGACACAGAAGGAAACAGAAAATGGATGCTGAGAGATCTTATTATTTCCTAATATTTGTAGTCTATGCAATTCTGGAGATTCAGATTCCAAGTGAGACAAATGAGAAGGCACGCTAAAGGCCAAAAACAATATTCTACTGAAAGAGCATTCTCTTCTTATGATGGGTACATCAAATCTATGAATAAAAATACAAAATAAAAAGTATTTTGGAATATCTACTTTAAAATACAAAGAATTTTTGATAGATCTTGTTTTTCAGGTTTAGATGCCAACAGGGCAAATGAGAACATCCAAAAATACTAGCTGAGACCCTCCTTTGTGCCAGTCACTAGGAATAGAATGATGAGTAAATGTGGATATGGTGCCGGCACATCAGGGCTCAGATGCATCACACCTGTCATGAGAGCACAGATCGGGGCATGGCCTCATGAGAGAGAGCAGGGGAGCCCACCCACAATCTCAGGATGGCAGAGTAAACTCTGGAATTAGAAGAAGCATTCCAGGCACTTCCCAGGAGGCAAGGAGCAGACTAAGGTGAGAAGACTGGAGATGGGCAAGTGTAAGGAAATCTTGAAGTTGAGGGGGGCCATCTTAAAGACTATTGTGACCATGACAACAATGTGGAGCCTCTGAAAGGTTTTAATCAGACATCTTGACATGATCACGCTTTCTCTTTAAGAAAGAAGAAAGTTCTTGGCTACAGTATGAAGAATGGACAGGGCAGAAGAGTGAATGTGGGGAGATTAATTATGAGGCCACTGCATAGTTCTGGCTCAGGACAAGGTGTCCTGGCCCCTGGTGGTGATGATGAAGGAAGAGAAATGATTGAACAAGGTATTTTAGTAGCTAAAGTCTAAAATAGGACTTGGGGATGGTTTGTGTGTGGGGGTCAAGAGAGGAGAGCTGACTACTGACTTGTGAAATTAGACTCAAAATAGCTAAGTGGGTTTGTTTTTCTTTATTGAATCATTTTAGTTTTGTCTTTGGGCAGTAGGAAAGGGTTGGATCACAGGTTCACTTTTGGACAAGCTGCACATAGAGGTGAATCATAGGAGCACAGAAGAGACACCAAGTTATGTCCTCAGCCCAGTTCTGCGTAGAGAGGTTTTTCCTGTTCTTTACAGTATCTTTGGCATCATTTCAGGCCAGGGACTTCCTCTCCCACTTAGATGATCTGAGATAACTTACTCCCGCAGTCATGTTTATGCTCTTTAATTTGGCTTTTCTATTCCACATTCACATACTCAGCTAACCAGATTAAGTCCAATATGCATCTGGTTGAGGAAAAAAGACTGTCATTTTTTTGACATCTAAATAATATTGTTCTTACAGTATATTTATGGGGCTTTTTTTTTTTTTTGCAAATACCAATACCTTGACTTTCTTCCTTTTCAACTAATTGCTATCAAACATGAGTGAAATAAAAGTACTTGAATATCACACAATCTTTGCATAGAAAAAGATGGCAATGCTGCCCAAACCAAGTCTCAGTTGGCTGTAGGACACCAGGCCAGAGACCCAAGATGGTAATTTATCAAGAATATGAAAGCCAAAATTCAGAGTGGCTGAGATCTGACCACATATGACATCTGAGAGAGCTGCTGACTGCTTGAAAGGATTTTGAAAGTGGGTGAACAAATCAGGGGGGACAACTCACTAAGTACTAACTATCTGGAAGGAAGAAAAAATATTAGATCCCTACCTCATATCAAAGTAAGATTTAAATGTAAAAACTGAAATCTGAAGGAGATAAGAAAAAAAAAAGTGTTTACTTAATATTGGAATGGGAGGCCTAGACATGACGTTGAAGACAGTTAATAAATGGAATCCATACATTTGAGTTCATAGAAACCACGCAGCTGGGAGACAAAAAGGTGTGAAGTGTGGAAGCATCAGTGGGAATGCCTCTTCTCTCCTCAGCAATAATTCTCAACAAGGGTGCAGTGCTGCTTAGAATTTCTAGCTGATGTCTTGGTTCTTTCTAACTTTCCTACCAGGGCTTTTCTGAAAAATGTCAGGACATGAAGGAGGGTTAGAACAAATTCGTTCTCTCTCTCTCTGTCTCTGTCTCTCTCTCTCTGTCTCTCTCTGTCTCTTGGGATTTGCAGAACTGAAGGTTACAAGATGTTCTTCAATTTCCAAATGTAACCAAGCTCTTGTATTTGAAGAACAGAGACAGAGAACTAAGATTGTTTTGAATAATCGCAAGAGATATTGAGGTGTTTCGTGAGATCTGTCTTGTAATATGTTAACAATTTGTAATATGTTAACAAGATCCTCACTTTCTTCTCTCAGTACCCGCGATAACTCACACAAGCATCTCAACTTTCAATTCCGCCTGCCATCTCTTCCATTCCTGGGTCTCTGAAACAATGAGGGCCCTGGAAGGCCTCTCAAGTTAAGCGCATAGGTTCTTTCTAATTTCCTCCATGAGCTTCTGCCTCAGCTCTATCTAATATCCTCTTATCCACACTAGAAATCTGAATGTTTAAATAACAAGTGAAAATAAACATTCTCTCAATATTTCTAGACAGATTTGTATACCATTAAAATATAGGGATGTTGCTGAGTTGCCTCAAGTCCCAGACGGGCAGGTCTGTAGGGACTGGAGCTTACATTCTTTCTGACTCTTTCCAGGGGACTTACTATTTGGCAGAACTGGCACATAGCCAGCCTCTTTACACTGTGCTTGCTCCTGGCCTATGAGGATCTTTACCCTGACATTTTATGGGTGGCACCGAAGCTTAGCACTTTCTCCGATAGAGAAAGGAGCCAGGTTCCCCATACAGAGGACCTGGGGCTTAAAGTAATTTTCCAGTGCCTCCTCTAAACCCCAGAATGCTTCACACCTACCCTCTAAAATGTAAAACCTACTTTCCTGAAAGCTAGGGTTGAATCTTGAATTCTGACACTTAGGTAGAAATATGAAGACACAGATCTCTCTTCAATGGTATGATGCAAAATCTGATGACTTTCTGTTACATGTGGATTAATCTGATGACTTAGATGTAATAATTACTAGCTCCTCCTGATAATATCTAAATAAAATGGAAGATTCAATCTGTAAACCTTATTATTTACAGACTAATGCTACAGGAATTTTTTTTTTCTTTTAACATTCAGGATACAGATCTCATCATAAGGAGTCCCTATAAACAACATCATTCTTGACCAGCTTATGAAAACATATACTTTACATTCCACTTTAAAAAATTCTTAAACTAATAGTATGTTCATGGACATAGTGTGGCGACTGCAGTTCATAAAACTGTAATGTTTATTTGAAAGTTGCTAAGATTAGATCATAAAAGTTTTCATCACAAGGAAAAAAAGAAATTTTTTAACCATGTCTGGTGAGACATTAACTAGACTTAATGTGATCTTTGCAATAGATACCAATGCT